AGTAAATAACAACTGCTATGTTCATTATTACATCCAACAACAGAACACCTCAATCGCTTAGGAGCCATTCTTGTCTACGCCCCTGCTCCAGCATCGAAACTATGGTGGTCGGACTGTTACTGCTCACTCAGGGTGGGTCTAAGGTAAAATGCCAGTGTCAATCGACTATCGTGGGAGGGGCCTTCGTCCGTGTGACGTGACACAGCCAAGAAGCTGAGAATGGCCTGATTTGAAAAAGGGAATACTATTTTTAGGGATTAAATAAATAACACTGGGTGGATTTTTATCACTGTAGGGTAGATGTTTACACACACTGCCAACACACATTAGGGCCTTTCGCACCGCAGGAACCTTTTCATAGTACCAGAACTAATTGTGGAATGAACTGTTGCAAACTTCTACAAAGGATTGCGGTTCTTGAAACAAAGTTACTTGCTGGACTTCCAAAAATGGCAGAAGACTCAGCAGACCATCGTTACGGAACCCCTCAGCATACAGCCGGTAAGTCCCATGAATCTAGTGAATCTCAACAGTTTATACCAAGTGTAGAGGAACAAGCCGAAACTGACTGTCACACTAATCGATGGCACAAACAGGGAGCGAGACCCAAAGGCAGTAGAGACATCAGATTGTCACGAGTTTCTCGTATTGCTGCCATAGCATCCTCTACCCCAGATACGGCTATGACAAGGCTTGTGAATACTGGTATTCTACCACCCCCTATACATCTTGAGAACAGAGTTGAAGCATTAATGAATGCGGGTGAGGAATCCCCAAATGTGATTAAACATGGACCGGATCAGCCAGCAGCTAACATCGCTACTAACAGGTGCTCAAGGTCGAGCAGACAGCGGCATTCAGCTCAGAGCGAAGCCGAGCCCAGGACTCTGATAGTGGGTGACTCTATTATCAGAAACATCAGTAGCAGAAATACAACAACATATTGCCTTCCTCAAGCAACCATTTCTGATGTAAACAAGGAACTTCTGAAAATTCTAATGAAGCACAAGACTGCGAATCGAATCATCATCCATGTGGGGAAGAATGATATTCGGAAAGAGCAGTCAGAACTCCTTAAGAAGGACTTCAGTGAACTCTTTGAAACACTTCAAAGACTCAAAGTTCAGTCATTCATCAGTGGACCACTCCCAGCAAGGGGAATTAATATGTTTTCACGGTTGCTTGGGCTGAACACATGGCTACAAAGAATCTGCAGCTTAAAAGGAGTCAATTTCATCGACAACTTTGCTACTAACAGGCGCTCAAGGTCGAGCAGACAGCGGCTTTCAGCACGGAGCACAGCCGAGCCCCGGACACTGATAGTGGGCGACTCCATTATCAGAAACATCAGTAGCACAAATTCAACAACATGCTGCTTTCCTCAAGCAACAGTTTCTGATGTGAACAAGGAACTTTGGAAAATTCTGATGAAGCACAAGACTGCAAATCGAATCATCATCCATGTGGGGAAGAATGATATTCGGAAAAT